TAGCGACGAATTTTGCCACGAATACATTTCGTCGCAATTTTTAGACAAAAAAAAAAGAACATTTCGTCGCAATTTAGAGACCAAAAAAAAATTTCGTGGCACATTAGCGACGAATTTTGCGACGAATACAGTTCGTGGCTAATTTGCGACGAATTTTGTGACGGACAATTAGCGACGAATTTTTTGCGACGAATTTTTTTTCGTCATAAATTAGCGACGAAAATTGATATTTTCCATTGCTAAATTTTGCGATGCCGAATTAGCGACGGATTTTTTTCCGTCGCAAAATTCTTCGCAAATTCGTTTAGCGACGAATTTTGCCAAATTTTTCGTCGCAAAATTCGTTGTTAAAACCTTGTTTTTTTGTAGTGCATGTTTAGCCACGAGCTGGGTAAAAAGGGTCGTTTCTGCAGTAGTTAAGGGTGAAACTTTGGATATGAGCACTGGTGTTACGGCGAGGTCGTTGGTGATTTGTTCGTTCCAGTAACGGACAAGGTATTTTTTGGGAGGGATTGAGTTGGCATCGCCGGCAAGGGAGTTGACGTCTGCAGTGGTGGAACCAAAATGAAATGATCGTTGAGTGACTGGAAAGTTAGCATGATGGACGCACCTAGGATAGTTCACCCAGTTTTAAAGATGTGGTAACCCTAAAATACACTTTACAACTCAGTTATATGACAAACAAGGCTACATCACAACCGCAGCACGATGCCAAACAAACTTGGTCAAATAATCTTGCAGTATATACATGGGGCATGGATGAAACTGTAATGAACGTGCAAATGGGTGTAAGCAAAGTAACAAGCAGTTATACCCACGAAATAACAAGAATGAAATCAACTTTTACGAATAAAATAGATAGCATGATAAACATTCCTGACAAATCCTTAACTTGTGTTCACAATCTGAATGATTTACAGTCCCCATTTTCTTTGTCGATGCTTCATGTCTAGTTTAGCATATGTGATTTAGATTGACGCTTCGTTATTGGTGTTTCACATGTCTCTTCTAACATATATAGGAACACAAACAAGATCAACGAACTATGGGTGTTAATGCATGCTGTGAGATTTTGGTGGGACCACAACCAACTGTTCTAAAAGCTTAAGCTATTAGATGAAGGCGTGGTTTATTATTTAATTACTCTAATACTCTCCCGCACGCTTAGTCTAGTTTTTTTGAACTAAGCGTGGAAATATTTAATTGGGAAGGCAAATGGGGCCTAGAAAGATTTGAACTCAGGACCTCCTGTTCTAATACCATATGAGATTTTGGTGGGATCACAACCAACTGTTTTAAAAGATTAAGCTATTAGATAAAAGTGTGATTTATTATTTAATTACTCTAACACATGCAAACTTCAAAGATAGGATGAGTAGTGATTATGGTGTGTGGAAGGGGAGGGAAGAGACATCGAGAAAACTAACATGGAGTGAAAACAGCATGATGAGGAAGAGGGAGAAGAGAGACATTTTGCTAAAACTGGAGAAAAGTGTCAAAAAAGTTCTAAACCTTTTGCATTTGTGCCAATTTAGTCCTAAACATTTTTTTGGTACAAATTCAGTCCTAAACTTTTGTATTGATGCCAATTTAGTCTTAAACCTTTTGCATTGATGTCAATTTAGTCCAAAACCTTTTGCATTGGTGTCAATTCAGTCCTTCCGGCTAATAGCTATTCACGTATCGAAGAACTGAATTGGCACAAATGCAAAATGTTTAGGATTGAATTGGCACAAATGCAAAAGGTTTAGGACTGAATTAGCACAAAAAAAGGTTTAGGACTGAATTGACACAAATGCAAAAGATTTAGGACTTTTTTGACACTTTTCCCGCTAAAACTGATCTGGCTCATTTCTTTAGGGAGAGGGAATGCCGAAAATGTTGGAGGGTTCGCTTGATTGAGCACGAAATTTATAGGACTGATGGCAGAGGTAGAGAGATTCCCCTAGGACAAATGGATGAAGCGAAAGAAACAAAACTTATAATGTTAATTAACTTGCAATTAATTAGAGTTTCATATCAAATGTTCTCTGCCAAGCGAAAGAAATAAAATTTAATAGTTTTTCTACTTCAACTTGCAATTAATAAGTATTGTATCCCGTTTGATTATTAGAAAAATCTATAATACCAATCAGTCGTTGGGGTTTTTTTTTTTAATGATAATGGGGGTGTTCGTGACTCTTTAAGAAATTAACTTACCTTTACTAGTTGTGGCAGTTTCTTTATTCCACACACACCGAGTAATTATTGTTGATACATAGGCTTGTGCTTGGACAAATGTGATGATTTGAACCTAAGGCTCGAGTGAGGAATATAATTGCGGTTATCAACTTAAGCAATCCCTTGACTCTATTTGTTATAAAAAAAAAGGGTCATGATTTCCTCTGCTCAGCCTTCTTAATGGGTATTTACATATATGGATATCACCCATATTTGAATTTAGTTAAGTGTACATGTGGATGATGTCCATAACTTGTGACCTACTAATCAAAAGCATGATATAAAGGAAAATATAAAATAAAAAACAAGTTGGTGTTTGGGGAATTCCTAAGTCCTAAATAATAGAGAGCGAGAGATTGGATTTTTATTGGATTCTATCATTAGGCAGAATCTGTAGGACGTTTGAGCACAAAACAAAGGAAGGCGATGGGAAAGCCCACGTAATTGATGAAAGCATGGAAGAGAATAGGAAAAAAACACTTAAGAATTAGCTAAGGACAAAATCTATTTAAGTAGTAAGTCATACTAATCTACATGATAAAAACGCGATTAAAGAAAAGCATCCATCCATCCTCAGACAGGAAAGGTCTTAGGTTATGTAAAACAAATGGCTTAATGCAATATGCCAATATCGTAAAGGACAACTCTTCCCAAATAATGTAATTAAACAATAAAAGAGCATCCATCCATGCCTCAGATTGGACTGGCCTTGAATAATTAATCAATTCGTGCAATAATCGGATAAATTTTCAAGATGGGAAACTGCGATTTCACATGGAGAAGAGATTCTCCACGTAACCTCCATATCTGTGCATGTAATCACAATAGATAAACTGTGTAACTGGCTCGCTAGTCATGAATTCGGGTTAAAGTCGTTGGGACATGATGCCATCATGAGCAACTTAATTATAATCACTTCTACAAGAGATAAATGAAATCTCCAAGATGTGTGCTTACTTTCCGGGGATTAGGAAAGGAAAGGTCTAATTGGTTCATTTACAAAATGAAACTACATCACACAATATGTATAGCCCACATTTTCTATCATTTGATGTTCTTTAGTGGAAACAATCAACCATATGATAGGATAAATCCCTCTATGTGATTCTTGGTTCCCATGAAGAACCTAAGCTGATTTCTCCACAGTCAACAATTTTACTAGAACTCTCCATATGCAAATAGCCTGTCCACCCGATTCACCAAGACTTCTCAATCAAACCCTAAGAGCTTTTATCCAAACCCGCCAACGATTATAAAACAATTAGACGTTCTTCGTAAAAATCATCTTGTCCCAGTGAGCTGGACAAAATAAGAAAATGAATTGCCTATTGCAAGTCTAAAGATTTCTAACTCAAAAATTGGAGGTCACTCGTTTGAATTTCAATAACTGCGTGCAAGCTGCTCCAGTAAGGACCACTTGCGCAGACCACTCGAACTATTCGTGAGGCTTGTAGGGTGTTCCATGAGCCTCTAGTAGTCCACAAACTTTGGGATCACATGGAGAGAGAGGTGGGTCCTCCCCGGTTCTGTATGATATCTTCAATTGGACTGGACATCTTCTCTGTTAAACCTGTTCACCAATGTCAATTTTGCTTCCACTGTTCATCATGGCCACATGGGTCGATCACTGCCGAGCTGGATAAAAATGCTCATCCAAGAAATGAGTACACTGTAAGTGGACATTCAGCGATGCAGGCCCAAGGGCTGCTCTAATCTTAGCCCATAACAACGTCTTGGCAGTAACGTGATGCTAGAAAGATTCCGTTCGTTGCCGCAGCAATTTTTAAATAATTATATGCCGTTCATCATTCCATATGTAATAATTATTTTGGAGGAAATTGGTAAAAGCTAAAAGTATAGCTATATAAACATAGAGATTTCTCAATCATATGACAAATTCTATATAAATAAGAAAATATACAATACGAAAATTTATCATACTCAAAAATGTTAAATCCCTTTCGAGTAATATTACATGTTCTCTCGTAAATACATGACACTTCAGTTGTAGCACTTCTTAGTTGAATATTGCAAATCATCTACCTTACTCCACATGAAGAAGAAAGTCTTCGTTATTGTAATAGAGGTGCCATTATTTTATCAGGTAAATTTAGTTTTTATTTTTCGTTTTATCGCATGAGAACGACTCATATGAAATCTTTAGGATTAGAAGTCTATTATTATATTATGGGTTCTTATTGAATTTTTTTTCCAATGACAAGCGGTTAAAAAAAGCCAAAAAATCAATAAAATAAAAGCAATAATCTGATGATATTTACATTAATGAGAAATTTATAAATGATATGCAAAATTTATGTAACTGAGAAAGTGCCAACAAAAGATAAAATCGGAAAAGTTTAAACGAAAATTCAAAAGAAGAAAAGTGAGAGGTTGCAATTTCAAGATTGAACTAGGCAGCTCTTTCTCCGCAATGTCAAGCGTACCGAATTATCAAGTTGGGACTCCCAACCACCATTTTTGCACCTTTACTGATCGGGAGTAGAGGGTAACCTTTATCTATCTCTCGATGAACATCATTCACCTTAATTTCCACTACACGCCATTGAACATTCATAGTAATATCACCCATAATGGGAACGGTTAGACCCATCGGCAACAACTCTCATCAATCTTCAGTCGTCAGAATACTTCCTTCCTCGCGAGTGGTGGACTTATTGGTCCTCCGCCATAGTTCATGAAAGTTTTTGGAGGATAGTTTGCAAATTGAGAGATAGGCGTTAGGAATATCTAAACACACGGCATAGTAGAATACAAAGACATCATAAAAACACTTAAGATTTACTGATCATGACAACTTTCACGCACTAAACACAGACGCATAGTTCTGCGTATCGGATTTAGATACTATATTAGACGATAATATAAGGCGAATGAGGACTTGGGTTGAAGCCAGCGAGAGACTAAGTTCTCTCTTGATCACTAGGCCGAACCCATATTTATTCGGTGTTGGCCACACTTCGTTCTTTCATTATCACTCAGCGGTTGTCCATACCATGCTGTTCTCATATGCCCAATGGCAGACCTCGATCCGGCCAGGACCCGACCCGAGCGTGAGGAACGCCTCGTGGGTAGGCCCCCAAGCCGACGTGTCCATATGACAGATGGCGACGCCGTGGTTGATCTTAGCCTTGGACTTGCGGTCTAGTATGTCTACTTCGTAAATGCGGTCGTTTTCTAATGCATGGCAGTGATATACCATGTAAGGAAATAGATTCTGGTGACAGGCCACGGGCTTGCTCACTTCGGCTCCCTTGAGCCTAATGACCAGCCCGATCAAAACCTCTTGCTTCGAGCCTCCGGTGCCCTCCGTGGATCGGACCGCGACGTCATGACCCAATATCGAGGTGGCGAAATCGATCATGTCCTCGATGGAGGCCACGCACCTCTTGGTTTCACCATGGATCGCCGCACCCTCACACTGGCCTAGTGTGTGTGCCATGATCTTCTCCATTGTGGAATTCTCAACGGAATGGAATATTTGCTTCAGCTCTGCAAGCTTTGAGGTTGAGAATGGCAATTTGGAGGATATGCCGCGGGGCAAAAATGACCTTTTGGGCAAATTGTCCCGGAGGGCGGGCATTGACATCACGTTACCGCTCTTCAGCATTGACTCTCGGAAGAACACGCTTGGCTCCATGCCCCTATTTACATTCTTGTCATCAGCTTTCACCGTTGTATCGACATCAAAGTGGAAATTCTTGTTGTTAGCATCGGGAGGCGGCCCCCAATTTATGTTGCTAGCATCGGCAGACTCCAAGTTGCTGTCTGTCACTTCGACGCCATTAAATGATGAGTTCAAGAAGCAAAGTAGTTTTGCCTCCTCACAGAAAGATAGGAGGTGATCGGAGATGGCGTCATTAGCGACAAGTTGGGTGAAGATGGCCGCGGATGCAACGGTCAGGGGTGATGCTTTGGAGAAGAGGACTGGTGGCCTGGGGAGGTTATTGGTGATTTGCTTGTCCCAGTAATGGATAAGGTATGCTTTGGGAGAGATCGCGTTAGCCTCGCCGGCCAGGGAGTCGAATTTTGGGGCGGCTCTAGCGACGGTGGTGACAACCTGTCGCAAGACAATCCACAGGAGAAAATCAAAGAGTGACTGTGAGCTAGAAGTTTATATAAGAGAAATGATTACATGATAGCTCCGTCACTTTTAATGGAGTGATGGAGCCGTTTCCGCCACTCACTTTTCATTGTTCTTTGTACTCTAAAAAAAATAGAAAGAAAGAAGGGATATGTGCATTGGAAGTCGCAAAATTTGTTATGAAAATGCAATTGAATTTTAAAACTTTCAAAAAATGCAACTGAGTCCTAAAACTTATTACGAAAGTGCAATTGATTCCTAAAACTTTTTAATAAGTGCAATTAAGTCCTAAAACTTATCAAATTGGTCTAATCAAGTCCTTTTGTTGATTGCAACTTTTGAAAGTTTTGGTACTCGAATACATTGTACTCTAAAAAAAATAGAAAGAAAGAAGGGATATGTGCATTGGAAGTCGCAAAATTTGTTATGAAAATACAATTGAGTTTTAAAACTTTCAAAAAATGCAACTGAGTCCTAAAACTTATTACGAAAGTACAATTGATTCCCAAAACTTTTTAATAAGTGCAATTAAGTCCTAAAACTTATCAAATTGGTCTAATCAAGTCCTTTGGTTGATTGCACCTTTTGAAAGTTTTGATACTCGAATACACTTTCATGATAAGTTTTAGAACTTTACTGTGCCTTTTGAAGTTTTAGGACTTGATTACATTTTTGTGACAAGTTTTAGGATTTGATTGCACTTTTTAAAATTTTTAGGACTTAATTACAATTTTGTGACAAGTTTTAAGATTTTCAATACATTTATCCCAAGACAGTAAGTGGAGCCCACCCCATGCTAGTATGAAAGTGAGTGGTTCTCTTTGCACCATTGCTACATGAAAGTGACGGTACCGTCAAGCTAGCATCCCTCAAAATCACGATTAGAATGGACATTATGCACTTAACATAATTGTGCAATGGCAGAATTAAGGAAGTAAAATAGACATACGTAAAATTGTAACGAACATGCAAAAAAGTATAAGTCACGTAACACAAAATTAGAACCACATAATAACATGATTGGAATTATCTTTACAATGAACATAGATGACCCAACAATTTATTCCTAATAATCATTAACGTATGTTATCTGATGCTTGTGTCCGAAAGTAGTAACGTCACGCTCAATCACTTAAAATGACTGTTACAACTTACATGCTTTCATATTATCAAAGCTTTATATTTTCACTTGATCATCTACGTTTCATTCACATTTCTTTGTTAGCGTAAAGAGCACATAAACATGATCGATCAACTGACACGCGTTAAGATAACCCGTGCGAGAAATAAATAATATTATGAGGTTAGGTTTTGGTACAAACTAACATTTAGTTTCTTGCATGCGTAAATTATATTGAATAGTTCTTATGAAGCCTGGGCTGCCCATTTGGTCCGATAACCTATACACTGTAAACCAATATAAAGAGATTGGGTTTAAAAAAAAAATAACGGATAAGAAGTAATTGCTAATGGAGTAAATGGCCGCAAAAATTTTTCAGCGTTAAATTTTCTTCATAGGTAAAAAAGTATATATACTGATTAAACACAAGATATCGAATCAAACATGTAGCCCCTATCTCTGCATGAAAACACAAAGAGAGAGAGATGAGCAGTTGGATACGCATGGAGGATGAGAGAGCTCGACAAAATACTGACATGGAGAGAAGAAAGCAGGAGGAGGAGAGGGAGGAAGAGGGAGGTGAGAGCCATTGTGCTGAAACTGTTGGGCATGTATTTCAGATTTGTTCAATCAGGGAGAGGAAATGCTGATGATTGTCGATAGGGTTTGGTCGATTGAGCCAGGAATTTATAGGACCACAGATTCGATAAGGACAAAATGGATAAATCGAAAGGAACAAAAGAACCACTGTGTCTCTAGTTGAACTTGCAAATGGTTTTCCTTTTATACGTACAAATAAGTATTTGGCGTTGTGTGTGGCGACTACTCCCGTTGGAATCAACATTATAGTATTTCGTCCTAAATTGGCCCATTCCACGGAGCAATCCACGCATTATGCACATGAATTGCTATAGAAAATAGGAATTAGTGCTCTAGAAATCCTAAAACTTATTAAATTGATGCAATCAAAGTCCCTTCATAAACTCCGTTCAATTTGGCTAACAAAAAATGCTAATGCGGCTTTTTTTATAATTTTATTAAGACACGTGGCGGCGCTCATCAAGTTCCACACTAGAAAAAATTGAAAATTTTAAAAGAAAAATTTTCTAATTTTATAAATTCAAAAAAGAAAAGAAAAGGAAGATAGGAGGAAAAAAAAGAATGAAAAATTTAAAAAAAAGTTAAAAATTTAAAAAAAAAGGGGCAAGACATTGCATGAAGACGACTCCTATTATCCTTTACCCTTTTCCTCCCATGTGGGGTTTTTTTGGGAAGAGATAACGACACAAACAGTTCTTAAACTTTGGCCCAATATGAAATGCGATCTATTAACTTTTAATTTGTTTAATGTAATCCATGAACTTTAGCGTAATTTTCAATGTTATCTTTGAACTTTTAATTTATTTAATGTGGTCCCTTGACTATATGAAAATGTTCAATATAGTTTTCGAACTACATTGAATATTTTCATATAGTTCAGGGACAAAATTGAATATGCACAATAAGTTTAGGGACGATATTAAACAAATTAAAAGTTCAGGGATCATATTGAATAAATTAAAATTTCAGGAATTATATTGCACATTAGGTTAAACTTCAGGAACTGTTTATGTTATTTTTCATTTGGGAACTACAAAGGTCCTCCTTGATTTTGAAGGACGTGGAGAAGGGGGATTCAGACCAGAAAAAAGAAGGGGACGATGACGTTGCCCCAGTGTAGACATCTACATCTTCCTCCTGAACTTCTTTTTTTTAATAAATTTTTTGCGACTTTCGCAAGCGCCTGGAAGTCTTTCTCAAATTTTCAGTGTTCTCTATCGAAATTACGAATTGGAACCGACTAAACTGGGTTGATATAGAGAAGGTTGGACTCAGCTCACGAATTCGAGAGCACCTCCCCGTCGTCAGCATCTTTAATGAAGGTACAGGCTATGGCTGTGGAGGCCATGGCCAATCCTACCACAGCTATAGCCATGGGAGCCTTTCATATTTAAAATTGATCCAAGAAATTCTCCGTAGGCGATCTGTGAAGGTTAAAAACCCTTAAAAGAGATTCATTGCCTTGATTACGTCACTTTGACAAGTTTTAAAATATTATTACACTTTATGAAAATTTTAGGATTTATTGATGACGACGGGACAAAATTTGTGCCCACCTCCACAGAGAGAGAGAGAGAGATGCTCGGATCAACGACAATGCTATGGAGGCCAGTGCTAGTGGCAATTGGCGACTGGTGTAGCTATAGGCGAAGTTGATGGAGGGTAAATATCTCTAGGTTAAGTTTATATGTGCATTCATTCGACATGTGAATGCACGCCACCTGTCCTAGTATTATTTAATTTTAATTTATCTTATTGTTAGCAAGATAATATTAGGAGACTGATTGAGCTGTATGTGTGCACTAACTTTTGGATATCTATGGTGTCAATTTCACACTAGTGTCCTTATTTTTGGCGAGAAGTTCTCCAATTGGTAAATTGAGATCTTTTACAGCGATGATGATAAATCCGAAAATAATTATTAATTTTGTGGCCCACAATTTAATAGAATAAGCATTATGAGACAAGAAATGTAGGGATTATCACCTTACTCATGTATATGGCTTAATGTCCATCGAATAATTGAGAAGCTATTGTCACTCTCCTTCACAATAATTCTTTTCTTGCAATAAATGATTCGATTTTTTTTTGGAAAAGAAATTATAGAGTGTGTAGGACTAGATTACATCACTTTGATCAGTTTTAGGATATGATTACAATTTTCGAAAGTTTTAGGACTCAATTATATTTTCACAATAAGCTTTAGGACGTTTAGTACATTTATCCCTAGAAAATACTACTCCTCCCGATTCGATGACGATGAGACAAAGCTTGTGCCTCCCTCCACACAGAGAGAGAAAGAGAGGTGGGTATGCCCGCGAGAAAGATGCCCGGATTGATGGCGATGCTATGGAGGCCACTACTAGTGGTGATTGGTGTAGTTGTGGGTGAAGTTGATGGAGAGTAAATATCTGGAGGTTAAGTTTACAAGTGCATTCATTTGACATGTGACTGCACGCCACCATTGTTTAATTTTAACTTATCTTATTGTTAGCTAGAAAAAAAGGACCGATTGAAGTTTATGTGTGCACTAACTTCTGGAAATCTATCGTATCAGTTTCACATCAGCATCCTTATTTTTGGCGAGAAGTGCTCCAATTGTCAAATTGAGATCTTTGAGAGTGATGACGATAAATCCGATCAATTTTGTGGCTCATAATTTAATAAAATAAGCATTATGGGACAAGACATGTAGGATTGTCACCATACACATGTACATGGATTCACGTCCATCGAATAATTGAGAATCTATTGTCACTCTCCTTCACAATAATTCTTTCTTGCAGCTACTAATTGGATTTTTTTTTTTGGTGACTAGTGTAGCTGTAGGCGAAGCTGATGGAGGGTAAATATCTCTAGGTTAAGTTTACATGTGCATTCATTTGACATGTGAATGCACGCCACCTGTTCTAGTATTATTCAATTTTAATTAATCTTATTGTTAGCAAGATAATATTAGGAAAGGACTGATTAAGGTTTATGTGTGCACTAACTTTTGGACATCTATGGTGTCAATTTCACACCAGCGTCCTTATTTTTGGCGAGAAGTGCTCCAATTGGTAAATTGAGATCTTTTACAGCGATGATGATAAATCTGAAGATAATTATGAATTTTGTGGCTCACAATTTAATGGAATAAGCATTATGAGACAAGACATGTAGGATTGTCACCTTATCTCATGTACAGGGGTTAATGTCCATCGAATAATTGAGAAGCTATCGTCACTTTCCTTCCCAATAATTCTTTTCTTGCAATAACTATTTGGATATTTTTTTTTTGGAAAAGAAATTATAGAGTGTGTAGGACTAGATTACATCACTTTGATCAGTTTTAGGATATGATTACAATTTTCAAAAGTTTTAAAACTCAATTATACTTTCGTGACAAGTTTTAGGATGTATAATACACTTATCCCTAGAAAATACTTCTCCCGGTTCGATGACGATGAGACAAAGCTTGTGCCGAGAGAGAGAGAGAGAGAGAGAGAGAGAGAGAGAGAGAGAGAGAGAGAGAGAGAGAGAGAGAGAGAGAGGTGGCGCGAGAAAGATGCCCGGATTGATGGCGATGCATGACTGGTGTAACTGTGGGCGAAGCTAATGGAGGGTAAATATCTCTAGGTTAAGTTTACATATGCATTCATTTGACACATGAAAGCACGCCACATGTCCTGGCATTGTTTAATTTTAACTTATCTTATTGTTAGCTAGAAAATATTAGAAAAGGACCAATTGAAGTTTTATGTGGGCACTAACTTCTGAAAATCTATGGTGTCAATTTCACATCAGCATCCCTATTTTTGGCGAGAAGTGCTCCAATTGATAGATTGAGATCTTTGAGAGTGATGACGATAAATCCAATGAATTTTGTGGCTCATAATTTAATAAAATAAGCATTATGGGACAAGACATGTAGGATTGTCACCATACACATGTACATGGATTCACGTCCATCGAATAATTGAGAATCTATTGTCACTCTCCTTCACAATAATTCTTTTCTTGCAGCTACTAATCGGATTTTTTTTTTGTGGAAATATAGAGCACGTAGGACTTGATTTTACCACTTTGGTTAGTTTTAGGATATGATTGCAATTTTTGAAAATTTTAGAATTCAATTGCACTTTTGTGATAAGTTTTAGGACTTTTAATGCACTTATCCCTAGAAAATACTACTCCTCCCGGTTTGGTGAAATCTTGGGTATACTGAATCGGTGAATAATATGTTCATCTATGAATAATATGTCGTAGTCTTGAGTATAACGAATCGGTGAATAATATGTTCCTCTATGAATTCTCCTATCGTTCTTTGTGTGATCTTTTTGTAAGACACGGCCTCCACCCACTATGTAAAATAATCAGTCATAATCAGAATGAAACTATGTTTCTTGGTCGATGGAGGATATATATTGCCAATTACATCCATCGCCCAGCCTCTAAATGGCCAAGGCTTAACGACGGGCTTTAGCATGGAAGCCAATATGCGTTGCACAGGGCCATGCATTTGGCAAGACTTACAACCTTTAGCATAGTTGATATGGTCCTTAGTTATCGATAGCGAGTAGTAATCATGGTGGTGCAATAACCATTTCATCTTTATTCCCGCTTGATGTGCGCTACAGATACCGTCATGGACTTCAGCCATTGCTAACCTCTACTCTTCCTTATCCAGGCATCTCGCTTGGTCCTTTGATTGTTCGCGTATATAATTTATGTCCTATCAAGATATATTTGAGTGCTTGTCATTTAAACTGCTAATCTTGCGACTTAGGATCTCTTCGATAATTGACGAAAGGTGTTCGCCAGTCACCTTCATTATCGATGACATTAGTGGGCATTCAACTATGCTGGCCCAAGGGTCGCTCTTATATCGCCGACAGCAAGATCTTGGAACATTCATGTGGATGTGAGCCTTTTCCGCTCTCTCTTTGCTCCTCGGAGACCCCGCTGTTTGATCATTGCAATGGGCTATCCGAACCTCGTCTTGGCTAATAAATTACAATAGTTGGGGTTCTTTTTTTAATCATAATGGGGTGTTCGCGACTCTTTAAGAAATTAACTTATCTTTACTGGTTGTGGCGGTTT